GCCGGTAGTTCAAACTCACCAACTGCTCCTTGAAAATTCTATGCAGGGTCAGTATGAATTAGAACTGACTGGATGGCACTTTAACAACATATAAGTGTTAGCTACTGTGACTACCCAGGATCTGATGTCCTTTTTTATCAGACCATGCTGGGAGTCATGTCTGGAGATGCAAGCCTGGAAAGATTGCAGGCGCTTAAAGAAAACTCGCAGAGCAAAGGCAAGAAGGAATATAGCAATGCCACAGGCTCTGTATTTATAGAATTCTGTGGGGAGAAGAGTTAAAGAGGATACAAAGCAGAATAAAAGCTCAAGGCTTTCCCAATAAACCAGGCCAGGGAGCAGACCATTCAGAGGATCTCTCCTAACTGCAAAGGGTGTGGGGCCCTGGGAAAGGCCAGGCTAAGAATACGCACTTGAAGGGATTCAGAGTAAGCCACTGGCTCCCTCTGCTGGCAAAAAGGGAATTTCAGTTACCCTTTGGCCTAAAGCTGTGGAGCTCTGGTAGTGTAGTGGTTACAAATTGGGCTGCAAATCTCAGGGTGGGCAATTCGAAACTACCAGCTGTTCCGTGGGAGAAAGATGAGACTTTCTGCTCCTATAAAGATTTACAGCCTCGGAAACCCTACGTAGGGTAGCTATGAGTCGGAACCGACTCCATAGCACATAACAACAACAAGTGTTTAAGAGTGATCCTTCTGGTCACTTCCCAGCTTTGGTTGTTCTTTGTGACTCAAAATGAGTCTGAATTATGGAAAAATTCCAAAGTGAAGTGAAAATATAGTAAATCTCAGTTCAGGCAGCTTCCTTGAGGAGGAAGGGAAAGTATTCACAAGGGCCTGGGTCAGGGAGCAGGTCGCAGACCTGGATCAGTGGTTCTCAATCCTGGCTGCTCCGGAGCATCAACTGGGAGCTTGTTCATTGTTAAGCATAAGCTTGTTGTGGGCCTATCTCAAGACTCAGAGTTCACAGGTCTGGCAGGGATCCTGAGTACTGGGTTGTTTACAAAGCATCCCAGCTTCTCCAGAGTCTGTAACCTGAAGAAGCCGAAAGACAAAGAGGGGAAGTGTCTCATCCAGAACCATTTCCTAGAGCAGCTGGAATTCCCCATCCTTGGTGGGCTCAAAGAATAGAACATTCTAGAAGCATGTCTCTTCTCCACTGCTCTGACCCCCACAGGTGTGAGATACCCCCTTCTGGTTTGCCTTGCAGCTACATTCAAAAAGCTCCTGAACATCCCTCCTTCTGAGAGCTCTGCTGGCTGGACTCGCCCCTTTTTCTTCACTTTCCCAACCCTCACAGATAGCCTCTACCACTCCTCTGGCATTTTATTGTATTGTGGTGGCTTGTATGTTACTATGGAAGCTATGCTACGGGTACTCCAAATACCATCAGCGTCACCAATGGTGGACAGGTTTTGGCGGAGCTTCCAGATTAAGAAAGAGTCAGAAGAAACAGAGGTGGACCACTTCTGAAAGTTCAGCCACTGAAAAACTTATGAATTATGGCAGAATATTGTCAGATATGGAGTCCTGGTGTGGTGCTGTAGTTCAAACTTATCAGCTACTCCTCGGCAACTCTATACAGGGTCACTATGGGTCAGAACTGACTCGACTACACTTAACAACAACATTGTGAGATATAGTACCAGAAGATGAGCCCCTCAGGTTGGAAGGCACTCAAAATACAACTGGGGAAGACCTGCCTCCCCAAAGTAGAGTTGAACTTGGTGACATGAATGGAGCAAAGCTTTGGGGACCTTCATTTGTTGATGGAACACAACTCAAAATGAGAAGAAACAGCTGCAAACATCTACTAATAATCAGAACATGGAATGTACAAAGTATGAATCTAGGAATGTTGGAAGTAGTAAAAAATTAAATGGAGCCTATAAAGATTGGTATTGTAGGCATCAGTGAGTGGAAATGGGCTGGTATTGGCCATTTTGAATCAGAAAATCATATGGTTTACTATGGGGGAAATATCGAATTGAAGAGGAATAGCATAGCATTCATCAAAAAGAACATTTCAAGATTTATTTTGAAGTACAACGCCGCCTGTGGTAGGAGGGTGGTAGTGGCTGTGTGCCGCGGAGTCAGCTCCGACTCATAGCTGAAGAAGACAAAGTCAAGTATTATAATGAAATGTGCAAAGACCTGGAGTTAAAAACGCGAAAGGAAAGAACACTCAGCATTTCTCAAGCTGAAAGAACTGAAGAAAAAAATTCAAGCCTCAACTTGTAATATTGAAGATTCTATGAACAAAGATCAGAGACTACAGACTGCAATATGGATTACACTCCAATGTAAAGAAAACACAAACTCTCACAAGTAGACCAATAAATAACATCACGGTAAATGGAGAAAAGACTGAAGTTGTCAAAGATTTTGTTTTGCTTGGATCCACAATCAACACTCAAGGAAGCAGTAGTTAAGAACTCAAACAATGTATTGCATTAGGCAAATTTGCAGCAGAAGACCTCGTTAAAGTGCTCAAGAGCAAAGAGATACATTTGAAGACAAAGGTGCAACTGATCCAAACCATGATATTTTCAACGGCCTCATATGCATTTGAAAGTTGGACAATAAGTAAGGAAGACCTTAAAAGAATTGATGCATTTGCATTATAGTTTTGGCAAGAATATTGAAAGTACCATGGATTGCCAGAAGAATGAATACATCTGTCTTGGAAGAAGTGCAGCCAGAATGCTCCTTAGAAGTGAAGATGGTGGGACTTCACCTCTTGTATTTTGGACATGTTATCAGGAGGGACCAGTCCCAGGAGAATGATATCATGCTTGGTAAAATGGAGGGTCAGCCCAAAAGAGGATGCCCCCAACCCAGATGGATTGGCACTGTGGCAGCAGCAATGGCTTCAAGTGTAGCAGCAATTACAAGGATGGTGCTGGACTGGGAGCTGTTTCATTCTGTTGTGCATAGGGTCACTATGAATCGGAGCCAACTTGAACGCCCCTAAGAACTACAGCAATAACAAACGCAGTCTCAAATGCGTGCCTTCTGTATAGATATACTGAATTCTTTTTATGGGGTCATCTGGCCACATTTTACTTGTCTTCATGAGTCCACATTCAGAAAAGGGTGTCACAAAGACCTGGGTGCTGAGTTGTAAGTACTTGTAAGCTTCCCTCAGCATGGCTCCTGACCTCCACTGAAGCTGCTTCTGCCAACCGGACTTCCCTTCTTTGCTATATAACAGATGTGTCAGGTTTACACCTTCCCTGTTCTGTCCCAGGTGACTCAGAGGAAGACTAGGGGCACGGAGGAGGGCTGTGGGGAAGGAGGCCTCATCCAGGAGGGGTGAATTCTAGCTCTGGATGTCATCTTGGTCAAGTCACTTCTTTTTTCAGTGCTGTCTTTCTGCAAATGTTGTTATCCTTGTTGTCACTGAGATGATGCTAACTCATGGCGGCAACCCAGTGTGTGTCAAAGTAAAACTGTGATCCCTAGCGTTTTCGATGGCTGATCTTTTAGCAGTAGCTCTCCAAGTCTTTCTTCCAAGGTGCTTCTGGGTGGATTTGAACTGCTAACCTTTTGGTTAGCGCTGTCCAGGGGCTGTTCTGTAAAATGAAGTGTCTGTTTTGCTCTCTAAAGACCTTTCTCACTCAACCCTCTGTGGCTCTGTGGGCTGTTGGTAGTCTTCAGGGCCCGGAAACAAAGAGGATAATTTTCAAGAAGAATGGTGACTCACCTGCATTTGTCCCCACAACTCTTCACACATCCGCTACACCATCTTCCCACATGCTCTGGTCTCTTGCAACTTCATTCCTCTGCCAGTTCTCCCCTCTCCTTCCTCAGATGTTTGCAAACACAGACACTAGGTGGCGCCAGGATCCCACCACCCGTCCCATATTTCAGGAGGCATCTGTGGGGAAGGGGCTCCTTACAGAGAACAGAAACACTCCTTTGGGGAGGATGCTGCAATGGACCCGGCCACCAGCATTAGGACGTGGGGTACCGATAGGAGGGGCAGTCTACCACCGTCTCCAGCTGAAATTGCTCTGGGAGGGATCCTGCCTGAATGGGCCAGGCTGGAGGAAGGTCCTTCCCTGGAGCCAAGTTGGCACCCAAGAGTGGAAAAGGAGTAGCCTGTACTGTGCCTCAGTCCCAGGGTCTGGAGAGTGGGAGAGAGAGCTGGTCCTTGGTAGAGCTGGTTCTCAGGATTGACCTCCTGATCTACCCCTGTGCAAAGAGGTACACTTGGTGAACGCGGCCGTGTCGCTGGCTATCTCTGCAATCACTGCCACACGGCGCCCCCTGCCTGTGACAGATGCCACAGCACCACCAACAGCTTGGACTCGCCACTGGCCACTGTTCTCTCTGCCTGACATTCGAAGCCAGACTGCGTCCTCTGTCCCCAGGGCTCTCATCAAATCAGGGGAGTGGGGAGAGAGTCGATATTGGACTTCTACCTTTAATAGGCAAATGGGTACCTGAGACGTTAATTAAAAACAAAAATGATGGGCTTCATTTGTACACCACCTAGAAGACATGGGCCAGGGACTTCTAAGAGGAAGAGAAGAAGGATGCAGGAGGCAAGAGAAGGGCACCCTCTTGGAGCCCGGTTTTATTATTAGCATGAGGGTGACTGGGCAGGAGGATGTGATGCCCACCAAGAGGTCCCACGGAGCCTGGCGCCTCCATCAGTCAAAGCATCATAGCCCAGGGAAGACATCCTGCTGCGAGAGGGAGTCCTTGGCTTCCCAGCCAGCCCTGACCCTGAAACAATAAACCAGTCAGTATTTGAGCTGAGAGTGGGGACAGATGTTGGGACTTTGGTTCCTTGCTTTGTCCCTCTTACCTCTGTCTAATGGTCCTCTGCTCCACGCTTGGCATTTAAAAACACATGAGGGGCAAAGATAACCTTGCTGGTGGGTTTGTGACCCTGAAATCCCAATGGACCCATCCCAACCAAGCTGCTTTCAGTCAGGTCCCTTACTTGTTCCTCCACAGCTCCCTTTCCCACCCCTTTCATACTCACCTGGGTTACAGATCATCTTCATTGCCGTGCCTGGGAGTGGGGGAAAGAAAAAAGACAGGGTAAAGGCCAGTGGGGAGGGGGTAAGCCCCTGAGACTGGGGATCCTGCCTCACAGGCCTCAGAAAGGAAACTCCCGGGTGGGCATCCACCCACGTTCACACAGGTTCTCTGGCCAGGCACTCACCTACGCCTCTTTTGGCCCCCACAGCGGAATCTTTTGCCTTGAAGAGAGCAAAGGAGGTTAGTGAGTTTTTATATCATAGTTCTCGCCTCCCAGGAGGTTCCCTCTGCAGCAAGGACTCAGGTCTTCTCATCTGGCCTCCCTCCCTCTCTCTGACAACACTCCCACAGTGTCTGACATGGAGACCTCTTTTGACTGTGTCTCTCTTCACAGAAGGTGGGACCATCAGCATTTCAGAGCCTAAGTCAGTCAGTCAGCAAGCATTTGTTAAGTTCATCTTCACTTTTGGGTCTGAAGCGGGCTGAGCACACTGAGGGCAGTGGCTGAGTCTGGGCCACCACGATGCTCCCGCACAGGGTCTGGCACACAGCAGTGGCTCAATAAGAACTTGGTAATGAACCTGGGAAGGGTGGGAGTAAATACAGAGCCAAGGCCTCTGCTCAGCTTGTCTGCTCCCACTCTGGTTGCTAACAGCCCGATGGGGAAGACCAAGCCTATGTGTAAACCAAAGCACTTAGATACAGGCTTGGTGGGCTAGAATTTCAGGACAAAGCAGTGTGTTTGTTGCCCTTATGTGTGTCCAAACAGAACTGTGCTCCAAAGGGTTTTCAATGGCTGATTTTTCAGAAGTGGATTGCCAGCCCTTTCTTGTGAGGTGCCTCGGGATGGACTAAAATCTCCAACCTTGCAGTTAGCTGCTGAGCATCTTAACCATTTACAACACCCATGGACTCTGTTTAAGGTGTCACTTATTTTCTTTTCACTCATTTGTGCATCTGTGTATTTTTTTTTTCAGGATGTACCAAAACAAGTCAATGTGCATTTATTAAGTGCCTGTTGTGTGTCCACTGAGGCTGGGGGACAATATAAGTTCTCTTCTCTCCTCTAGATCACTTGACATCTACACTGGATCCTTATTTTAAAAAACAAACAACTTTTTGTTGTGAATTAGGTGAAGATTTACAGAGCACATCGATTTTTCATTCAATAATTCATACACGTTCTGCGTCATGTCATTGAGTGAAATTGCCACAATGTAACATCACTTATTCCATGTCCTCCCTGCGCTTCCTGTTTGTATCCCTCCTTCTTTCCTAACGTTTCCTGCCTTCTGAAATCTGTCCCGGAGCAAATTCTGCCCTTTTGATCTCAAATAGTTGACTACTGTAAGGAATGCATACTGAAAACCTGTCTAACGCTTGACTGAAGGTTGAACCACTGGAGTGAATTCATTCCCAGACCTGACTAAGGGCCATAGTCTCTGGGGTTCCCTAAGTCTCTAACTGACCATGACCCTTGGTCTTTTTTGTGATTTTGAGTTTTAGTTCACATTTTTCTTCCATTCTCTCCAGGACCTTCTAACGTGGTCACTTTCAGATCAGTTGGTACCATCTAGCTCTTCTGATCTCAGGGTTATTGAAGCTGATGCTTGAGTGAGCCATTGACCCACTGGACTAATTGTTTCCATGTGTCTTTGATTTTCTCTGCTCTGCTTTCCCAGACAGGGAGAGACCAATAATTGCACCTTAGATGGCCACTCGTGAGCTTTAAAACTCCAGTCTGTACTCACCAGAACAGGAAGTAGAATGTTGACTTTGTGGGCTATGTTATGTCGGTTGACCTTGGTGTATCCTGAAACTATGGTCTTCAGCCCCCAGGACACTGGATCCTTCTTAAAACCCTCTCTTGGCTGACACATCTTGGGTACTAGTCCAAAGTCTATTTAGCAGATGCACAAACTGATGCCCATAGGGCTCAGGGTCCACATTAAATTCTCAGCAGAGTCCAAGTCAGAAGTGCTTTCCAATAGTCCGGGGTCAAGCGGACCTGGGTTCAGGTGAACCTGGTTCTGTTTTCTTACTGGCTAAGGAGCAATTATGGGTAAATTGCTACACCTCTTGTCCCTACAGTTAATGCACATGGCTGCGATCCAAAAGATTGCGGGTTCCAGTTGGTCCAGAGGCACTTCAGTTGAAAGACCTGACAACCTGTATCTGAAGTCGGCCCTTGAAAACCCCTATAAAGTTTAGCTCTGTTCTCACACATATGGAGTCATCAGGAATCAGGATTCACTTGAATTGACAACAAGTTTGGTTTTTCTGTTTGGCTACACGCTCAAAGTAGGTCTCAGTTTTTTCATCTGTAAAATGGTCCAATAGTAGCCATCCCTCCATGTAGCGGAAAGGATTATTAAATAGGCTAAGATGTAGCTGAGTCTAGGACAGTTCCAGATTGGGCTGGCCCCTCCCTGTTACCAGGCCTTCATTTACATTAGAGGGTCCTCTCTCAGCAGCAACCCCTGGATCCACTAGAATAGAGGGGCCTTGTTCTGTGGGGTCCAAGAATCAAATGGGGCAACATTCCAAGAAGCCTCTTTTCTTTGACCACACTCTGAAGGGAGGTGTCTGTGTGTAAGGACACACTCCTCTTCCTGGGATGTGAGAGAAGTCAGCCCCTCCACCTGGGAAGCCAGTGTGCCCCTCCCCCAACCCCTACCCTTCCTCCACCAGGGCCATCTTACTGAGGATGATGATGAGCCCCACGACGAAAGCTAGGCCAGCGAAGATCAAGCCCCCATTGCGGACAGTCTCGTAGTCTCAGGAAGGAGAAGGCAAGAGAGGTGGGATGGGTCATCTCTCCTGGTCCCCATCCTGCAGTCCCCCCAGTCCCTGGGGCGTGTGTGGGGCATAGCAGGGATGCAGAAATGGGCTAGGTTGGGATGAGGAGTGCAGAGTTTAGGAGGGGACAAGGGGAGCAGGGATCCACTGGCTTACCATAATAGAAAGGATCCACTTCATCCTTGGAGCTGCTACCTGAAGAGGGAGCCAGAGAGGACTGAGAAGGAAGGAAGGGCCAGAAACCCCTGTGCATCTCTTCCCAGTGGCTCAAGGACATCCAAACCAGCAGAGGGAAGTTTGGGGGTCTGCTAACACCACTGCTCTGATCGCATCTGTCCCTGGCTTCTTCAGACTGCCAATCTTTCCAAAGCAGTATCTATGTTTTCTGTGGAGGACTCAGAGACTGCTTCTTTCAGGCTCCTTGCCCTTATTCAACAGTAAGAAAGAAAGTGAAGGCGGTATTTCCCACCAGAAGGTTTTTCTCTCCATCAGTAAATCAGAAGGTGTTTAGCAAGTATTTATGAAGGAGTGAATGAATGAATAAAATAGATTCTTAAGGTGAGATTGAACAGAAGGAGGATTATTATTATTATCTTTAGTCAAGTTGTTCCAATGACCCTGCATAGGGCTCTGAGGAGTGACTGGTGGGTTTGACCCAACAACCTTGCAGTTAGCAGTCCAATGCTTATTCTACAGCACTACACCAGGGCCCAGAAGCAGGGTTACTGCTATTGTTCTTAAGTGCAGTCAAGTCAGTTCCTACTCATAGCGACCCTTTATAGGGTTTCCAAGGAGCGACACAAGGTTTGAACCACCAACCAGACCAGGACTCCAGAAGGAGGGTTGTTGTTGTTTTTAAGTGTTGTCGAGTCTGTTACAACTCATAGCAACCCTGTGTAGGGTTTCTGAAGAGCAACTGATAAGTTTGAACCACAGATCTTGTGGTTCAAACAGACCTTTCAGTCCAGCTCATTGACCCACAGCTCCACACCAGGATTCCAGAAGGAGGGTTGTTGTTGTTATTAAGTGTCATTGAGTCAGTTCTGACTCATAACGACTCAGTATAGGGTTTCTGAGGAGCAGCTGGTGGGTTTGAACTGCTGACCTGTGATTGGCAGTCCAGTGCTGATCCCACAGCACCACACTAGAAGAAGGGTGGTGGTTATGAGCCATGGAGTCGATTCTGACTCATAGTGACCCTGCAGAGGGTTTCCAAGGCTGTAAATCTTTACAGGAGCAGAAAACTTCATTTTTCTCCTGTGGAACTGCTGACCTTGAGGTTAGCAGCCGGACTCATAACCCCTAAAGCTACCAGAGCTCCAGAAGAAGGATTGTTGTTGTTGTTGTTAAGTGCCTTCGATTTGGTTCCAACCCACAGCGACCCTATATAGGGTTTCCAAAGAGCAGCTAGTGAGCTTGAACCACCGACCTTGCAGTTTAAACTGACTTCACTGAGGCTCAATTTGGTGACCTGTCTGCCCCAAATCCCAAAGGAACTGGAGGTAGAATTGGGTCTTGAAGCCAGGTCTCTAGATTCTTTCCATGCTCTTAGGTTGCCATCCTCAGAAGGAAGCTAATCTATTTAACAGGCATTAGTATTGTGCTGATTATGTGCTAGGCTAAGGGCATTACAAAATAGTAGCTAATTTAAACTACATAACAACCCTAGTTGTTATAGTGAAGCATTACAATTATTAGTCTGATATAACCCATGATAGAACAGGGGCATAGAGAGGCTAACTAACATTCACAGTCAGTAAGCAATAGAGCTGAGATTTGAACCCAAATAATGGGTAGCTTAGAACCTAGGTGTTTACCCACTTTGCTATTCTGCCTCTTAGGTGATAGGAGGGAAGGAGACCTTTCAAGTCACTGACCCTGCCCACTACCTTCTGTGACATTTCCCACCTTGCTTAGGAGCCGCTTAGCATCTAGCAAATGCCATCCTCTGCTCTCCAGACCTGTTAATGGGGTACCTTTGCCCTTAGGCAGCCGGAGGGCAGCTTGGCCAGAGAGCACTTCTGCCAAGGCTCAGGGTGACTTCTCTTTCCTACCTGACTTGAGCCCCTTCTTGGCACCAGGGCAGGAGTGCTTGTGGCCCACGGAATATGCAAATCAGCAACTCCACTTTCTTTCTCACAACAACCCTATCAGGTCAGTAAAATTCCCATTTTACAGAAGAAGAAACCGAGGCACAGAGAGGGTGAGGAACTTGACTGAGGCCACATGATTAGCAAGTGGAAGAACCAGGATGTGAATTCAAGTACCAACCCCATCTCCACTTGAGGCAAACTCATAGACTCCATTGTTCTCCTTGGAAGGACTAAACAGCCCTAGGTGGACACAGACCACTGGTCTTGTCCTTCTGCCCCTCTATGGGAGACCTCAGGGCCTGGTGAGTCTGCTGTCCCCTGAAGTCCATTCGCTAAGCCAGGAGAGGACAGGTGAGGAGGGCTCAGGCCTGGCTCAGGAAGGCCAGAGGCTAAGGGGAAGAAATGGGGGACCAAGAACCCTGCCTCCATACAGACCCCTTCAAAAGCTGCCTTCCCAGATTTGGTGCAGAATGTGTCCAAGGTTACAGAAGGCAGGGTTATATCCACACCATGACACCACACCAGGAAACCAGGTCCTCCCTGGCCACCTCATCTTGAGTCATTTGAGGAGCCTTCCCCTCCTCCAAGAGCCTCACTTTTTCTAGATCCAACTCAAAACCCACTATTGTCCACAGATGTCCTTCATAGGATGCCTCTAAGAGTGGGCTTTGAACTGGGGGCTCTTTCCTCGAAGCCAGTCAGGAAAGTTGCCCAGAGAGTCCATCTCCAGTACAGCCCCTCCCCAGCTAGCCCCCATCCACTTCCTGCTCTGAGCTCAAAACACTCCAGCTGAGCCACTATCCTTGGAGCCAGAGCAGGTAGGTAACACAGAGTCAATGCTGGGCGGGTGCTCACCTTCACCAGCTTCTGAATTTAAGGCATTGTATTTATGGCTAAATCTTCTTTTAAAATGCAAATTTTCTAGGGAGGAGGTTGGGAAACCAGGGTCTCTAGAAGGAAGGCAAGGGTGTCTAGAGAGGCGAGAGGCCCTGGGGAGAGTGGGGTTCAGCAAAAACAACCCCAATTCACACATAACACACACACACACACACACACACATGTGCATGCATAAATGCACTCACCATTGTCCATAGACAGCCCTGTCATCTCCCCAGCTGACTCTCGTCTCTTGCTAACCAATTCCTGTTGACTCTGCTCTGAGGAGAGTGTCTAGCAGGGGGATGGGTGGGTACGAGGTGGGGGCATTAAACATTAACAGTGCCAGGTAATATTTACCCTGGTCACAAGAAAAGCCCTGGTGTGGATGATGGGGCACCCGTTGCGGTGTGAGGAAGGGCAGGGAGGAGCTGGCCGAATTTCCAAACCCTCCCAAAGGAAATTTCCAGAGAGGATCTAGGTACAGGCCATCAGTGGAGTTCTTCCACCAGCTGGAGGAGGCACAGTGTGGTAGAAATAATAGGGAAGTGGGCGTTTCAAAAACAAAATTTCAATATATTCTCTACCTGGGATCTAAACCCCAAGCCCTAACAGCTGCCCTTCCCCATCCACTGTGGATGCTACTGTTGTGACCAGTGTTCATTAACTGGAGCAAACTTTAAGCTTCCCTGATGTGGTCTCAAATTACTTTATCACTATCCTGCCATGATGTCACTCAGGGACCACCTGGCACACCACACAACATTCATACCAACACCCTTTTCTGTCTTTTCTGTCTTATCTCATTTGCCCATTGAGGCTAGGTCTAGCAGCTCACACCTCAATCAGAAAAGCTCTGGTCATCTTAACTCCTCACTCCTTCCCTGCCACTGCCGACACTTCACCACTTAGCACTTGCTCTGTTCAAACTGACCCTCTAGTTGTTTCCAGACTAGGTTCCCACTGGGTGTTGTAAGTTCCTGAAGGAAGAAACCAAGTCTTATCATTGGCAGAATACCCTGCTTTGATGGTTTAAAAAGCACTTTCATAACTGTTTCCTAATTTATTGAGCTTCACGTTACATAAAACTTCATTTTATAGATGAGGCATCTGAGGCACAGCGAGGCTGGGCGCCTTGCCCAAGGTCACACAGTTCTCAATGGGTGAGTGAAGGCCGACAGCCACCAACACCCAGGCCTCCAGCTTCAATAGTCAGGTGTTTTTTTGTGCCTCCTTAGCAGTTTCTCCCCTCCAATGTAGCCTCCTTTACCTCAGAGACTCTGGTGCTTGGTGTTCTGTGGGGGCTGCATAATCCTCAGGGAGACCTGATCAGCTGAAGTGGCCTCTGGAAAAGGCTAGTGCCCATCAATAGTCAGAAGGACAAGACACAGTGGTCTGTGTCCACCCAGGACTCCTTAGCCCTTCCAAAGAGAACAATGGAGTCTATGAGTTTGTCTCAAGTAGAGATGAGGTTGGTACTTGAATTCACATCCTGGTTCTTCCACTTGCTAATCATGTGGCCTCAATCAAGTTTCTTACCCTCTCTGTGCCTCGGTTTCCTCTTCTGTAAAATGGGAATTTTACCAACCTGATAAGGTTGTTGTGAGGAAGAAATTGGAGAATGCATGTAAACAGCATATAATATTGATCTGGTTCCTAGAAATCATTTGAGAAATATTAGTTGAAGTCATTACTGTTATTGTTATGGGTGTGTTGACTGGAGAAATAACAGATAATGGCCTTTTGTCCAACACAACTGTTAGAGTCAGCAGAGCCAATGACCAGGGGTGAGATGAAAGCGAGAATGTCATGACCAATCAGACCAGGAGCCATGACATCCACTCAGCTTTCTTCTGCTTTCAGAGTCAAGTGATATAGACTCAAAAATATTATAAGAGCTAATCTTCATAACCACCACTAGCCTGTCAGTTTGTTGTTGCACTGTGGTGGTTTGTGCACTGCTAGAAGCTAAACTACCAGTATTTTAATTACCAGCAGGGTATCCCATGGTATACAGGTTTCAGAGGAACTTCCAGGGTAAGACAAGCTAGGAAAGAGGAAAGGCAGATCACTTCTGAAAGGTTAGCCACTGAAAACCTCATGAGTAACAGCAGAACACTGTCTGATACAGTGCTTGAAGATGAGCCCCTCAGGTTGGAAGGCACTTAAAATAGGATTGGGGAAGAGCTGCCTTCTCAAAGTAGAGTTGACCTTAATGATGTGGACGGAGCAAAGCTCTTGGTACCTTCATTTGCTATGGGGCACAACTTGAAATGAGAAGAAACAACTACAAACCTCCATTAAAAATTGGAGCATGGAATGTACTAAGTATGAATCTAGAAAAACTGGACGTCATTAACCAATTCTTTTTGAAATGCAATACATAAGGATCATTATCCTGTGCATTAATGAGCTGAAAGGGACTGGTATTGGCCATTTTGAATCTGACAATCACACGGTTTATTATGCTGGGAATGACAAATTGAAAAGGAATGGTGTCACATTCATCATCAAAAAGAACTTTTCCAGATCTATCCTGAAGTACAATGCTTTCCATGATAAGATATTATCTATATGCCTTCAAAGACGACCAGTTAATATCATATTCTTCAAATTAACCTACCAACCACTAAAGCCAACAATGATGAAATTGGAGAATTAGACCAAATTTCTTCAGTCTGAAATTGATCAAACATGCAATGAAGATGCATTAATAATGACTGGTGATTGGAATACAAAAGCTGAAAACATAAAGGAATCCAACAAAACTCGAGTTGGATTCAGAAGAGGATGAGGAACGATGGATATGTATCATTGCTGATGACAGATGGATCTTGGCTGAAAGCAGAAAATATCAGGATCAACAATTGGAAGAAGATATGGCCTTGGTGATAGAAATGGTGCTAGAGATCCCATGATAGAATTTTGCAGGACCAATGACTTATTCATTGCCAGCACATTGCAAGCACCATAAATGGTGACCATACACATGGACCTCACCAGATGGAATACACAAGAATTAAATTGACTACATACATGGCAGGAGACGATATAGAAGCTCAATATCATCAGCCAAAACAAGGCCAGGGGCTAACTGTAGAACAGATCATTAATTGCTCATATGCAAGTTCAGGTAGAAGCTGAAGAAAGTTAAAACAAGTCCACGAGAGCCAAAATAGGACTTTGAGTATATCCCACTTGAATGTAGAGACTACACGACTACACTACTGCTATATAAATGATGGTGGTGGTGGTTATGTGCCATGGAGTTGGTTCTGAATCATAGCGACCCGTAGAGGGTTTCCAATGCTATAAATCTTTACAGGAACAGAAAGCCTCATCTTTCTCCCATGGAACAGCTGGTTATTTCGAACTGCTGACCTTAAGGTTCGCAGCCCAATTCGTAACCACTACGCTACCAGAGCTCCTTTAAACAAATAGCTAAAGTACCAGGCATCCACACACAGTCTCCCATCCAAGGACTAACCAAGCCCAACCCTGCTTAGCTTCCGAGATCAGAAGAGGTCAGGCCATAGTCAGTTTAATTCCTGTGTATTCCATTTGGTGAGGTCCATGTTTACAGTCACCATTTATGTTATTTTAAAAAGATATATGCAATGAATAAGTTATTGGTCTTACAAAATTCTGTCTAAGAATAGATTTGATGCATTAGATACTAATGCCCAAAGACCAGAGAGTTGTGGGATGACATAAATAACATCATAAAAGAAGAAAACAAAAAGTCATTTAAAAAGACAGGAAAGAAAGACAAGACAAAAATGAATATCAGAAGAGACTCTGAAACTTGCTCTTGAAATTAGAGAAAAACCATTGAAAGAAATGAATAATAAGTAAAAGAGCTGAACAGAAAATGTCATAGGGTAGCTCAAGAAGCAAAGTAAGGTTTTATAATGAAATGTACAAACACCTGGAGTTAGAAAAACCAAAGGGAAGAATACGCTCAGCATTTCTCAAGCTGAAAGAACTGAAGGGGGAAAAAATTCAAGTACTAAGTTGCAGTTTTGAAGGATTTCGTGGACAAAATATTGAATGATGCAAGAACCATCAAAAGAAGATGGAATACACAGAGCCACAGTACCAAAAAGAACTGGTTGATGTTCAACCATTTCAAGAGGTGGCATATGACCTAGAACTAATGGTATTGAACCACAAAGTCCAAGCTGCACTGAAGGCATTGAACACAAGTCTCCAGGAATTGACAGAATACAAATTGAAATATTTCAACAAATTAATACAATGTAGGAGGCAGTCACTTGTCTATGTCAAGAAATTTGGAAGACAACTACCTAGCCAATAACTGGAAGAGTTCGATATTTGTGTCCATTTCAAAGAGAGATAACCCAATAGAAAGCAGAAATCATCAGACTATATCATTGATATCACATGCTGATAAAATTTTGTTGAAGATAATTCTAAAGCAGTTGCAGCCGTACATTGACAGGGAGCTGCCACAAATTCAAGTTGGATTTGGAAGAGAATGTGGAACTTCTGACATCAGATGGATCTTGGCTGAAAGCAGAGAATACCAGAAAGATGTTTACTTGTGCTTTATTGACTACATGTAAAGGTATTTGACTGTGTGGATCAAAACAAACTATGGATAACGTTGAGAAGAATGGGAATTTCAGAACACGTAATTGTGTTCATGAGGAAGCTGCACTTAGACCAAGAGGCAGTCGTTGGAACAGGACAAAGGGATAGTGAATGGTTTAAAATCAGAAAAGGTGGGCACCAGGATTATATCCTTTCATCATATTTATTCTATCCATATACTCAGCAAACAATCCAAGAAACTGGATTACATGTAGATTATGGCTTCAGGATTAGAGGAAGACTCATAAACAACCTGAGCTATGCAGATGACATAACCTAGCTTTCTGTAAGTGAAGAGGACTTGAAATACTTAGTGATGAAGATAAAGGACTACAGTCTTCAGTATGAATTGCACCACAATGTAAAGTAAACAAAAATCCTCAGAATTGGACAAATAAGTAACAACATGATAAATAGAGAAAAAAATTGAAGTTGTCATAGAGTTTGTTTTACTTGGACTACAATCAACACTCACGGAAGCAGCAGTCAAGAAATGCAACAACGTATTGCATCAGGCAAATCTGCTGCAAAAAGACCTTTTTAAAGTGTTAAAGAACAAAAATGTCACTTGGAGTACTAAGTCATGCGTGACCCAGGCCCTGGTATTTTCAGTTGCC